CAGCGATTTTGACCAGTGTAGAAACTGTGTCAAACACAGCAATAGAGAAGTCATGTCCAAGTCCTTTCACACATATGTGCCCTTCACATTCAGCTGTGTTCCGTAATGACCTCTGGGTGACACTTAGTCAGACCTGGAAATGACACTATTGGCTTTGTGTCCCAGAGGTCACTTCTGACAATTGCAGAATCTTGCACAAGTTGAAATCTGTGCATTCTTTGGTACCTCTTTTCTTTTGGTTATATTATGCTCTGTTGACTGTTTACTTATACTCATTGCTGATACATTTCCCCTGAGTGTTTACTAGTGTTGTCTGTTTTACCCTGTGTCGTCAGCCTGGATGGATACCTGCTTTATTTCCAGTTTTGGGCTACTGGAATGTTTCATTTCACTTTAGTAACTGCTCAGAAGCAGTAATGGTGGATTATATGATAGAGTCAATGTTTAACAGCAGGAAAACATTGCTAACTTGCTTTAGAGGAACAAGCTTTTCATGTTCCCAAAGATATATAACAGTTACATTTATATCCATGTCAATATGAGAATTACTTATTTTTAATTTTAGCATATTAAGGAATATGTGTTATTATGTAGTGTCATATAATTTAACCTACATTTACCTTATTACTAATGATATATAATAGATTTTTGTTATTAAGGAACATTTAAAATTATTCTTCTGTAAACTGTTTGCTCAAAAATTTGTTTACTTCATTTAGTTGTTTGTTGAGTTGTTTTAAAGAACTCTTTATATATCCTATCCATAAGTTATTTGTCAGGTACTTGTTTTGATATTTTTTTCTAATATATAAAAGTTTAATTTTTCATTTTCCCTTCTTTTCTCTATTTCTTCTTATTTACTATTTCTTCATGTTAGACTATAACTGTTGTACAAAATAATGAGTTTTATTTTAGCATTTTCATATTTACATATTATGTATTTTTACATATTCCTCTTCCCATTCCTCTTTCTCCTGTCCCATTTCAATTTCTTCACAAGGTCTTTTACTGGAAGATGTATAGTGTATCCTGTATAATGTGTGATGTATACTGTGTACTCTATACTATATTATATGTCCTGTTTTCTATATGCTGATTCCTGCGTACTCTATCCTGTATACTGTGATGTATACTGTGTATTGTTTACTGTATGCTGTGTTCTGTATAATGTATACTGATTCCTGTATACTGTATACTATATGATGTATCAGTATACTGTATACTGATTTCTGTACATCATATTATGCATACTATCTGATGCATACTGTATCTGGTATACAGTGTACTGATTCCTATATTCTGCATAATGTATACTATGTGATATATCCTGTATACTGTATAATGTATACTGATTCCTATAAAATGTATACTGTATGCTATATCTTTGCCTAACTACTTACTAAATGGTTCATCATATTATCTGATTCATCAGTTTCTTAATTTAAAAAACACTGAGTCTCATTATATTTAAATGTCTGATTTCTATTATCCAAAGTTTTGAAACACCCAAGAAACTCTAATTTTCTAAGAAAATACGATAATATTTTGATGGGATTTTCACTAATATCGTTACTTTTGACTCCCTAGTTACTTAGAGATTAGTGGGAAACCTTGTTTTCAGTGGCACCCAACTTGCAAATTTCCTAACTAAAGACTCTTTCAGTAGCCTATACGTTGCACACAGTACTGTGCTTCCCATTGGCATTTCTTGCTATTTATCATTTGGAGTATTTGTTCTTGATATAAATTCTCTGTCAATATTTAGTTAGGAAAGACTTTATTATAGAATGGCTGTTTATAGTAAAACTTTTCACCTAGAAACACATTCAAATGTACTGTGCATTCCTGTTATAAAGCAAAATTAGGATGTTCTTGATTATGTAGAACATCTTTCTTGAAGGTAGCATAGAAACCTCTCAATTACTTTTGTTCTTATTCTTTGAAATCATAGAAAATTCTTAAGTAATAAAGTTACTTTTTTATGCTCTATCAGGTCTGAAATGAACAAAGTTTAAAAGATTATTCCTATAAATATTGAAAAGCATTTATCATTTTAACCCAAATACCAATGCACATAAGCTCTGGTTTTTACCCTCTCAGCAGCTCTTCTGTGGGCCAGAAGCTTGCCTGAGTTATAGCCATCACCCTGCTTCCTTTGGAGACATCCTGAGTGTTGTACCTGGGCAGGAGAGTAGTGGCAGGCTACAGTGTGAAATAGTTGTTACCTTCTTTTTAAATGTCTTAATAAAGTCACAAAAAGTGAAAACTAAGAAAGACTATAAATACCTTCTAGTCCAGTCCATTGACCTCTTCTCTCGGTGTTTGTAGATACAGAGCATCCTCCTGTATTAAATAGTTTTCATGTGTTGGTATTGATTTGAAGTATTATAAAATTAGATGATGATGATAAATTCTTTAAATTATAGGATACAACCCAAGGTTTATGTTTCTTTGCTTTTGTTTCAGTTAGTGCAATATTAAATTTAATATTATGACATAAAAATCAAATTAGAAATTATTAGAGTGATAATTTTCTTGCTTTCCCCTTTTCTGTTGATTAGATAGGCATATAGCAGCTGGAGTTCAAACAATTATATATTTTCTCTTCTCTTAGAAGTTTAAGTACCAAAAAAAAAAAGAAGTTTAAGTACCTACTTTAACTACTTTTTTTACACTTTATTTATTGTGTGTGTGTATGTGTGTGTGTATATGTGTATGTCTGTGTGTCTGTGTGTATGTGTGTATGTCTGTGTGTGTCTGTGTGTATGTGTGTTTGTGTGTGTATGTGTGTGTATGTCTCTGTGTGTGTATGTGTGTCTGTGTGTATGTCTGTGTGTGTGTATGTCTCTGTGTGTATGTGTGTGTCTGTGTGTATGTGTGTGTGTATGTGTATGTGTATATGCACATGTGTCTGAGTGACTCATGTGGAAGTCAGAAGAGAATGTCCCTTCCCCCCATCATGTAGGTCCCAGGACTGACAGCAAGCACCTTTAATTGCTGAGTCATCTTGACACCAGTCCCTTTTTGAGACAAGTTCTGTCTCTATATCCCTGTCTCCTCTAGAAAACTCTGTGTAAAAAAACCAGGCTTCCTAAACGTCACAGTCTTCCAAGCGCTAGAATTGCAGGTGTGGACTGGATAGTTAGGGCATGTCTGTCTTTGGCTACAATGTTACACACTAATGTTCCAGAAACGGTGATCAACTGAGGTTAAGATTCTAAGACATTAGCTGATATCTGGCTTCTGTTGACTGGAACTGTGACAATGTTGCTTGAGGCAGAAAGGGTCGGAACAATGACAGGGGAGGCCAGAGAGTGAGGATGGTGGGGATTGCTTACAACTGTGACATGCAGGGCTCAAGACGTCTCAGGGCCTCATAATGAACACTGGCAATTCTGAAACCAACTCTCTTAGGTATTAATAATGCCAGCTAATACTTATGCAGCACTCACCACGATTCTAGTGTGTTACACAAAGTAATTTATTTTCAATAATTATTAGAGAACTGTTTTCTCTGTCATTTTCAATACATGGCAACTTGATTTATAAAAAAGAAAACATCGCTAGGTGGTGGTGGCCCATACCTTTAATCCCACTACTCAGGGGGCAGAGGCAGGTGGATCTCTGTGACTTTGAGGTCAGCCTGGTCTACAGAGTGAGTTCCAGGACAGAGAAACCCTGTCTCAAAAACAAAAACCCCAAGAACCCCAAAAACAAAAAGCAACACATCTTTTAAATAAAACTAAATAAAGGACTTTCTAGAATTTTCATATGAGCTCTATTTGCCCACTGATCTAGAGAGTAACCAAAATGGATATTAGTTAATGATATGGGAAAATAGTATCTTTACCCTACCTTCCAGTTAATTTGAATTTTGAGAAGACAAGCAATTCAACAAAAACATGTAGTTTTACCCTCAACCACTTCTGTAAAGAACAATATTTTGACTGCCTGAGGTAGTACTATGTTACAAATTAAACTATCAATTTTACTATCACCAAGATCTTTCTTACCATGGTGGTTTAACAATAAGCCATTATTAAACAAACTGGTCATTTAAAAAATGTTTTCTAGTAAAGACCAGAAATGTTTTCCTTATTGATTTGAATAGCAGCCTTCATATTTAGTAATCCTATTAAAAACCAAAGAATCAAACCAGATATTTTATCACATTTATTATGTAAGTCCTACATCCCCACGGTGGGTAATTACGTTTAACTAAGAAGAAGGCAGTAAGGCAGGCTGCAAGAATGGAAAGGAGGAGAGAAAGCAAAGAGAGAAAGGGAAGGAGCATTACCTGAGATCCCACCATCGACAACCACCGTTGACCGTACGCAGCACATCTTCTTACTAGTTTATGTGTGTACACATGGGTAGTTTTAGATAAAAAGGGGGTACCTTACTCTTTGCTAACCTGCTTTTATTTTCCAGCTGTGTGCCACTAGGCTTTGTTGTGAAGATGAGTATATGAGAGCTAAATGGACGTTTAGATGGTTTCTCATGTTTCCTTAGGATCTTTGCAGTCTCACTTGTCTTAGGATTTAGTTTCACAGAAAAGAGTGAGTCAGTGTTTAAGTAGAACCTTAAAGCCTTGTTGATGTTGGTTGTGGTGACATTATTCTGAGTGCCGGGGGTGTAGGGTTGGAGCCCAGGGTCTTGAGGTGCAATCCCTTGGCAGCTAAGCTACACCAGTGGCTTAGGGAGTTCGGTATTAGTGAGATGTGGTTGTCTACGAAGGTTTTCCCACTCCCAGAGTCCAAAGCTAGCCGTCAGCCCCACAGCTTACCATGGTCAGAGCCCGTATTCTTCCATTGCCAGGTCGGGGAAAGCTCTATTTCAAGTGGCTTACGAGCTGATTGACAATTATATGATGTTCTAATTAAATTCAGCTCTCCTTCTGTAGATTTAAACTGGGTAACTGTGAAACAGTTTTCCCAGATGAACAAGGCACAGCTGGCGGGCAGTCTCTGCTAACCATAATATGCTTCTTGGTTTTAAAGTCTCAGTGTACACAGAGTCCCAGCCAGAAGTCATCTGCTGTCTGAGACTGACTCTGATGGATGCTGTCAAGGACACCGTGCAGCAGGTGATATCCCTGGTGAGACGTGGGCGCCACAGTGAGACAAACCTGAACAAACCCCGTGTCCCTGACCATCTGCTTCAGACCATTCCACGGGCATGGGGTTACATTCCAAGAGGATCCCGAAGGAAAGAATCAAATAAAGGTGAGAAAATCAGTTCCCTAAGAAAGTGTCCTCCAAAGAAACAGTCTTGTAGGCTATTCAGTTAAATAAAATTCTAGAAGGCATAGGACCAATGAATGGTATTGATTTTCATTTCACCAAGTATATGGGAGGGTGGCTTCATTCTCTTTTTGCTGTGAGCCACGCAGACAATGCATCTGGGAATGAAAATGAAGCAAATGATCATCTTATTTTATTAGTACTTCGTAAGTTTTTAAATTTTATTTTATTTATTTTTATTTTTGAGGTTATAATTTGATTACCACATCTGTTGCTTCTCTTTCCTCTGTCCAAACTCTCCCATTTGCACCTCCCCACTGTCCCTCAAATTCATGGCATCTTTTTTTTTCTTTTACTAATTGTTATTGCATGAGTAAGTATATTCACATGCACGTATATCTTAAATATAGCCCGTTCAGCCTGTAGAATGCTACCTGTGTGTGTGTTTTCAGGACTGACCATTTGGCACTGGACAACCAAATGGCGTGCTCCCTGGCCTCTCCCACCTCTCCTTGGTTGCCATTCAGTGCTTCAGAATTTTTATCTTTTGTTTTTATATTAGTAGTCACACGACCTTGCTTTACTTTAAATCTAGAAACTATGCTGTGTCCCCTCCCACTCTTACACTGTTTATCTGTCCTGTCTCCTTTTCCTTCACCCAGCAGCCATCACATTCGCTTGCTTTTCCTTCAACACACTTCCAGAAGCAGCTTTTAGGTGTCACCTACTTTGATAGTTGTAGATAATTTTCTGATAGGATATTTCTCTCCCTAGACTTGTGGTTCTGTCCTGAACCTATTGGTCCTCCTGCCCAGGGTACTTGACTTATCATTTATCTCTATGTTCTCACCTTATACTATTTATTTGTGTGGCTCTTCTATTTTCAAAAGTAAAATTTCTTTAGATTCATTTTTAAAGGTGGGTAGTTTTCAACTGGGAGGAAGAACTTTTCACAATAAAACATTCGAACTGGAACCCATGAAAGGGAGTTGAAGGGTCTAGTCTTTCTTTCCTTCTCCTCAGAGACCCTGAATAGTGGAGCTCTTACTGTCCAAGTTTGGTACACACTCAAATCAATTGTCTATGCTTGACATTTCTAGTGATATTTTAATTTTGTTCAAGTCCTATCAAACTGTCTTTGGATCTAGTAAAGATATTTAATTGAAATTGGAAAGTGTCGCCTTTTGACTGGGAGAGTTCTTCCTCATCTGAGAGCTGTTTCCATTGTTTGCAGGTCCCCTTCTTCCGGCTTTTAGATATGTCATTCACTTTTAGGGACCCAGGAAGCATGATATAGTTAGCATGCTACACAACTTGATGAGCACTATTTGTTCGATTGATCTATTACAAAAGTTTTCTTTTCTAAGGTGCGTGTAGGATGTTCTCTATACTATTTAAAAGAGCGTCAAACCCAAGAAGTGCTCATTTTACATATACTAGTTGTGGGCCTTCTTTAGCAATTAATATTTTCATAATATTATAAGTTGGTGTAGAGTTTTATCCTAAAGACAGTCAAAGTGGTGTCAGATCGTGTGAAACAAAGTGATGGAAGGACGTGAAGCTACAGACCATCCTGTGCATTCCAAATAGGAAGACAATAGAGAATACCCTTATTGTTGCTCTGTGTCCCGAAACACTTTAGGGACCATCATATCAGGACTTCTTGGCCCCTCCTATTTTGACACTTTATTATGATTTTGCTTTTTGTGGTTTCCATTGTCCTCACTCAACTTGAGTACAAAAATAATTGTATTTACTTTGGTTCTTTTGAGAGAGAGAATCTACATTCACATACTTTTTGTTACAACACCTTGTTAAAAATATTCTACTTTTTAAGTTTTTGTTTATTATTGTTCTTAATTTTTACATTAAGTGTTTTTTACAGGTATGTATGTATAAGAAAAAAAATGGACATGAGGGTTTGGCACTCTTCACATTTTCAGACATTCTCTGGACATCTTGAAATGCATCCTCCTTAGATAAGGACACTGCTAAAGGCAGATGATATTTACGTGTTGGCATTCAGTCATCCATTGATTCAGTGGACATCTGTGTGTTTAAGATAGCAGGCATACTATACATGTACTCTAGCCTCTTGGCACTAGGAAACTAGAACAATGAAATGGGTGGAAACACCCAGAACATGCACACTTATCAGAGGAAGGAAATTACATTTTATAACATTCTTTATGAAGATTGTCACAATGAGGAGTTGGGGTAGAGTGGGGAGATGGGCAGGGAGACAAGAGTCCTTTAGCTTCTTGTGTAGATCAATGCCATATTGTCAGATGTACTGTTAAAAATTTTGATTCTCTAAAAAGATACAAGTGCCCCTGACACCGATGCTGGACTCTAATACTGGATGGAGATGGCACCAAAGTGGGAATTCTCTTGTGTATTTCCACTGCAAATATGAACATAAGGTGAAATAATAATTTGGTCAGAATTAGAAAGAAAAAGTGTGGGGAAACCACCTCAAATATGAGCTCCCATATATTTTTATTGAATGTGTTTTCCTTGTGCTATACTAGCTCTCAGTTTGAAGTGGTCTTGATTAGCAAAAGATTTCAAAACTAAACATGTAACACATGAAGACAAACTCTGTAACCCACAGTGTTAAAGGCTAATGAGATATGATCGTGTTCATTATAACTTTGTCAAAAACGATAACAAATGCTTACGATGCCATTTTAAACACAGCATTCTAACTTGTTAAATTAAAGATAAATAGACAACCTGTGGGGACATCTACCTTTAGTATGTGCATGGCAGAACACAGGATCACTGCAGAGACAAACTAAAGTGTCACTTCCTATTTCCTCTTTGTCAGCTAATACTATAATGTAGAGAAAATCCAAGATTTAGACAAAGGAGCACCATGGAATATTACACCAGGCATGAGATTGGCACAGATGATTCCCACACATGGCTCTGCTCTTTACATGAGGCATGAGATTGACACAGATGATTCTCATGGCTCTGCTCTTTACATGAGGCATGAGATTAACACAGATGATTCTCATGGCTCTGCTCTTTACATGAGGCATGAGATTGACACAGATGATTCCCACACATGGCTCTGCTCTTTACATGAGGCATGAGATTAACACAGATGATTCTCATGGCTCTGCTCTTTACATGAGGCATGAGATTGACACAGATGATTCCCACACATGGCTCTGCTCTTTACATGAGGCATGAGATTAACACAGATGATTCCCACACATGGCTCTGCTCTTTACATGAGGCATGAGATTGACACAGATGATTCCCACACATGGCTCTGCTCTTTACATGAGGCATGAGATTGACACAGATGATTCCCACACATGGCTCTGCTCTTTACATGAGGCATGAGATTAACACAGATGATTCTCATGGCTCTGCTCTTTACATGAGGCATGAGATTGACACAGATGATTCCCACACATGGCTCTGCTCTTTACATGAGGCATGAGATTGACACAGATGATTCTCATGGCTCTGCTCTTTACATGAGGCATGAGATTAACACAGATGATTCTCATGGCTCTGCTCTTTACATGAGGCATGAGATTGACACAGATGATTCCCACACATGGCTCTGCTCTTTACATGAGGCATGAGATTGACACAGATGATTCTCATGGCTCTGCTCTTTACATGAGGCATGAGATTGACACAGATGATTCCCACACATGGCTCTGCTCTTTACATGAGGCATGAGATTAACACAGATGATTCTCATGGCTCTGCTCTTTACATGAGGCATGAGATTGACACAGATGATTCCCACACATGGCTCTGCTCTTTACATGAGGCATGAGATTAACACAGATGATTCTCATGGCTCTGCTCTTTACATGAGGCATGAGATTGACACAGATGATTCCCACACATGGCTCTGCTCTTTACATGAGGCATGAGATTGACACAGATGATTCCCACACATGGCTCTGCTCTTTACATGAGGCATGAGATTGACACAGATGATTCCCACACATGGCTCTGCTCTTTACATGAGGCATGAGATTGACACAGATGATTCTCATGGCTCTGCTCTTTACATGAGGCATGAGATTAACACAGATGATTCTCATGGCTCTGCTCTTTACATGAGGCATGAGATTAACACAGATGATTCCCACACATGGCTCTGCTCTTTACATGAGGCATGAGATTGACACAGATGATTCTCATGGCTCTGCTCTTTACATGAGGCATGAGATTGACACAGATGATTCTCATGGCTCTGCTCTTTACATGAGGCATGAGATTGACACAGATGATTCCCACACATGGCTCTGCTCTTTACATGAGGCATGAGATTGACACAGATGATTCCCACACATGGCTCTGCTCTTTACATGAGGCATGAGATTGGCACAGATGATTCCCACACATGGCTCTGCTCTTTACATGAGGCATGAGATTAACACAGATGATTCTCATGGCTCTGCTCTTTACATGAGGCATGAGATTGACACAGATGATTCTCATGGCTCTGCTCTTTACATGAGGCATGAGATTGACACAGATGATTCCCACACATGGCTCTGCTCTTTACATGAGGCATGAGATTGACACAGATGATTCTCATGGCTCGGCTCTTTACATGAGGCATGAGATTGACACAGATGATTCCCACACATGGCTCTGCTCTTTACATGAGGCATGAGATTGACACAGATGATTCTCATGGCTCGGCTCTTTGGTATTTGTTCCATTGGGCTTCAAAGAGGAAATGCACAAAGAACTAGTTTATTTTTGTTTTATTTCTTTGACAGTAGTTAAGTAAAGTATATAGTTGAGATGCTATTTTATCAATGGTAAATTATGATTTTTAATGAAAAGAATGCTCAATGGAAAATTTTTTGGTTGGAGCCTTGGCCTTAATTGAAACAATGGATTCTGGAGCAATCAATTGAAGGATGGTGTTCCACTTGCTTGTATTAAGTGACAAAAAGAAAAGAAGCAACAGAGCAGTGGGTGCCAGCAGAGTTTGTTTGTGACATTGCTACCCTGGAGGAAGGCCAAGACTAAACACTAGAATCATTTGGAGGAGTGAGTTTCAGGCAGAGGGTACAGCTCAAGAGTGCTTGCTTAGCATGGACCAAGCCTGGACTTGATCCCCAGATCTCATAAAACCAGGTTTGGTAGAGAATTCTAGCAGAAGGATCCAAAGGTTGATCACATCCTTGGGTATATAAAGAGTTTGCACTCAGACTGGGATCCATCAGACGCTATCTCAAAAGAAAATAAGATATCATAAAATCAAATAAATTGTAGATTTTAGCTAAGAGCTTATATGCTCCCAGGGAATAGAGATTTTTTTTATTGTCATACCCGAGGTGGTATGTTACTGGTATTTAGTTAGTGGGAAAGCATAAATGTTCCAGAAATCCCTCCATGTACAGAATAGCTTTACACACAAAGAATTACCCAGCACTCAGATGCCCATGGTGAGAAACATCCTTCAAAGAAATAGCACAAAGCAAATGGCATCATTTACAGTCAACAACCAAAAGCCAGTGACCACCAAGCAAGTACCACATTCATGAGGTATGCGAAGGCCAAGACACTAGCACAAATCACAGACAAGCAAAGGGGAGAAATAAGCACAAACCAGCTAACTCTAGTATTCAGTGAGTGTTTACTGGACCACTCTGGATGGCTGCTGTCGAGGACACAGCACTGCCCTCCTGGAGCTCCTAGTCAAGGAATGCTGACAGGTAATGAAACAGTCATGGAATGAGATAGTTATCAGATGGTGATGGGCACTGCAACAAAAGCCACCAAACAGACTTCCTGTGAAAGCAAGAGACTTCCCTTGAGACAGGAAGGGTGTGGTAAGACTGCTGGGGTGGGATGGCTCTGAGGAGGTGACACATCTGGTAGGAATGAAAGACCAGTCAGTCATGAGAAGAGCTGGGACGCTGTGCCACAGACCACAAGGGAGAAGAAGAAAGCATTTCACGGGACTCCGTGATGTCAAAGGTCATGGGACCTTTGCTTAGTTAGCAGTTTCCCAGTACTTCAGAGTTTAGATCTTAAAAAAATAAACACATAAATTATAAGTCGAAATTTTCTAACTTTAATCTTTAGAAGGAAAGACTATGCTTGAAATGTAGAGAATCTCAGGTGATAGTTCCTGGTGGAGTTCTTTTGGAAATCATTAAGCACTTGTTCATCTTAATAATTTTTCTCCACAAAAGTCAGACATCCCACACAGCAAAAAGACCATGCTGTGAAGGCATGAGAATGCTAACGGTAATCATACCTTTCTCCCCTTTCTTCCCAGGCTTCCTAAGGCTCGCTGCTCAGGCAGTGTCTATTGTAATCAGCAAGTTACCTACAGTGATTGCATGCTTGCCTCCTACAATTAAATACTTCTTTTATCTGTCTGAGAGAAAAATGTCAAAAAACTTGGCTGCATTGAAGAAAGCTGGCCTGCTTGTCTGGAACTTGATTGTAATTATATGTCGGATATTTGAGGATGGGAACACCGTGGAACGTTTAACAGGTGCCTCCCTTGACAGATGGAGTAAAGAGAAGGCAGCTTTAATCTCTGTGTGTTTGGAAAGTATTCTGGGAGAAAGAAGCAGCCCGTGTCAACTGACCCAAAAGGTCATACTGAGCATTGAGCGGCAAAAACCCAACTGGTTGGAGCACCAGCTTCTCAAAGCAAGGACCCTGAGCATCAACTGGTAAAGTCATGCTTGTTTCTTACGCAACTGCATCAAGTGATTTCTCAATACCAAAGTCGCCATTCCACAACAGCATCAAATTTTGTCAGATGGGCAGCAATGGTCATTTGACAAAACATAATAGGACCTTTGAGGAACACTGAAAAAGATGAGTGCCCTGCTAAACACTGGGCTGTTAGAGGTTCCTTGCTGTAAAATCTGAACCATTGATATGCAGGAACACTGTCCTGGTTTAGGTTCTGTCTTAAGGTTTCTGATTAAAAGGGTGTAGCTCAACCCAGGGGAATTTAGTTTCACTTCTTTTCAGTGTGCAACCAGGTATCTAGTGCATAGCCTGAGGCACTTTGTAAATGGAGTGGGCACAGATTGAATTAAGAAAGAATTAATGGATATAAAAGGCTTTTTATTGCTTTCTGTGTACCTGATTGTCAAAAAGGTACACATTTTTCATCTGGAAATGTAAGAATCCCAGAGGGCAACTGGGGCATATCACTCACAAGCTATAAACACACCCAGCTGTTTCAGGATGGAAATGTCAGCTTTCTCATAGGTTTGTCACCAACAGCTAAGTGATTTGTGGTACTGCAAAGACTTCTAAGGATCCCCGATGAATTCAAATATGTGTGTAGAGCTCTGTGTTGAGGTTAGTCCTCAGGTAAAAAGTGCGTGATATTGATAAAGGGATTCTGGCTCAGGTGGTCTGCACATTGCGAAGTCGGCCCATTGCTTGAACACACACACACACACACACACACACTTCCGCCACGCGTAGTAACTGAAGGTAAAATACATGTGGTTAACGATACTAGTGTAACTCTCTGCCCGAGATGACTCAGAGTCACCTGAGGTATGATTTCTTTTGCTGGTAAATGGCAGGGATGAAGAAGTAGATACTCCTTGTACATGGTCATTTTTATACCTCTCTCAGAATGTCGGTTTTCAGGGTGACACCAGTAAGTATGGAAGAACTGTTTCTGAAAAAGGAAGTAACAAAGTTTTCAACATCAAATTGAGATTTAGTAAACACCTTTTACCTATAAAATCTATTGAAATATGTTGTGCATTGCCGGATGTGGTGGTATACACTCAGGAGCAGAGACTTGCTCTATACAGAGAGTCCCGTCAGTGACAAAAAGTACATTGCATTCACTGGTCAGAGGAATGGTAACAAGTACATTTTGCTTGTCCTTGCTAGTCTTTAAGACTTCATTTTAGTCTATGGTGTGGTAGCCTGGTTTCCCTGGTCTAGTCAGACAGAAGACTAGACAATCACTTTGGTGTGTGACCAGAAGGAATGACAATAGAAGTCAAGGAAATGCTCAGTAACACTGACAGTTAGTGACATTCTTAATCTTTATTATTTGCATCCAATTCCAAATTCCAGGGTTGTAGACAGTGACTAAAAGATTAAGGTCAAATGTCATTATTCATGGTAGTGGATATAAAAAAAGAGAGAGAGAAGAAAGAGAAGGCAAAAAATAGAAGACAGAATTATGCTTACAGAGTAAAAATGTTTGATATTGCTGGTTTATAAAGCCTATAAATAAGATATATTCAAAATAATGTTTCCAGTCATTCCTAAAATAATTTTCCTTCAAAAGGTATTTATTAAGTTCTAAAAAAAAAACCCAACAACAAACACCAGCACACTTAGCATCTCTTTGAGTAGAAAATTTTCTACATAGGATGTAGCTAGTTAGCTAGTAGTCAAAAGTTATTAGCGGTTTTTTACAACATGAATTGAAAACTGGGATTTACTGATTTCTAAAATGTTTTCTAGTCCTCAAAGATACTAAAATTCAGGCATAAAGTTATTTGTTGCATGTATTTGAAGGAGTGAAAATTGACTTACTGTAACAAGTACACTGAGCTTGTGTGGTACAGATATATTTCGTCTTGGCTCTGACTTTAGATTATTTGGCGTGAGTGTACACGTGCATGGCTGTGTGTGCGCCTGTCTTCTCATAAATTGATCCATAGATCTACATATGAGGAAAATGTATAAACACATTTGAAGTCAGAGTGTCTGCATCAGTCAGAGGGTTGCCTTGGCTTTCTTTAAAAGAAAAAAAATGCAACAATTAAAATTAAAGAAATTTTTCTGTTAAATTCCGCACAAAGATTATCTTGGAAGTACATACTGTCATTTAGTAAGGCTTTCCCATTAGCTTTGGTTTTATGAAAATCACTGCAGTTGGAGCTGAGGCAGTTTGAGAGTCACTCGTCTTAGATACTGCCTGCAAGCATTACTATTCATTAAAATAACCTTCACTTTGTAGTAACTCTCAAGCTGTAAACAGTCAACTTAGATTCTGGAGAACACACAGCCACAAAAGTAAAGAAATGTCTGTCTTTGCAAAGTAATTTGTCGAGTTGAAGACTATTGTTTTTCATCATGGTGACCCTGACTTGGCTGGCTGGGTGCGTATACAGATTAAGATTAATGCAGTTATTCCTTGGCTAAGGTCTGCCTCTTTCAGGGCACATTCTCCCTAATGACATGATTGATAGGCAGTCCCAAATCCAGAGAGGAACTCATTAATCATAGCAGTGACTGAATGTAATCATTTGCTTCACCTGCACAGTGATGGACAGGAAAGGATACAATTCAGGGGTTGACACTGAGATCCTCCTTTGTCAGGGGGCCTCAACTTTCTCAATGTCATCTCCTGCAAAACCTGACAAGAAATTTTGCCTGCAACCTATATGCAGTTTCACAACGATAGGTGCAAATTTCTGTTAGTGCAGCAATGTCTTTAAAATTTTTGCTCTAGCTAATGAGCATTTCCAAGTCAGTAGGAGTCATTTTATTTTCTATTATCTTGAGCAAGACTCTCTCTCTCTCTCTCTCTCTCTCTCTCTCTCTCTCTCTCTCTCTCTCTCTCTCTCTCTCTCTGTGTGTGTGTGTGTGTGTGTGTGTGTATCAGAGAGTCAGAGAGAGGGGTGTTTTGAAGCTACATGTGGAACCAATATCAAAGTTAATGTCTGGCAGCTGGGTATCATTTGGAGTCCTCAGGTCAATGGCACTGACTCTTAGCAGAACTAATTTTACAATCATGCCAAAATCTCAGCAAAGAACTGCAGCATACAGCTGATTACATGACAGTAAATTTCATTTATTCTGGGAAACAGTATAAAACCGCCAACATGCCTATAAATAGTCAGGTCACCACGCCTAACACAGTCTATTGCACTTGTAGTAAGAGAGTTAGTGGGGGAGCCCATGCGTGGATCACTGCCAGACCCTCACACTGCCATAGCTGTTGGAGGCATCTCACTTTTGTCCTTTCTTATCAATACCCAAATAATTTTCAAACCTAGAAAACTTCAAAAAGTAGGGCTTCATATCTGTAACCTCCACATCCCCAGCAGGATGATAGTAACCCTTTTGTGGGAAATAATAACCAGAGGAGTGATTTTCTCTAAGTGTCTGTTGTAAGGAGAGGGAGTCTTATTTTTTCTAAGGCAACAGGTGTCAAAGGTCAATTGAAAATGCTCAGCGGTAAGCTGCACCCAAGTTTGTTTAGCGCCACAGACCTCTGTCTCTGCGTCTCTGCAGGCCAGCTTGTCTTTGATGTGTTTAGCACAGGTGTGAAGAAGCATGGACAAGAGACAGAGCACAAAAGTGTTTCTGGCATCAGCGATTCTTTTTGTCCTCAAAGAGAAAATACAAATTATTTCTCACATGTTCTTAAAAAGAAATGTTTTGTTTTCATCTCATAATTATAACCATTTCAACAATTACAGTAATGGGAAGCATTTTATAGATAGGAGTTTAAATTCAACAAAGAAGTCTTTTAAAAGAAATGATTCAGATTAAAAGAAAAAAATGTTCCCAGAGTGTATCGGAGCCACGGTGGTTTAGGAAGAATGCCTATTTGAAGAGAGCTTTTATGGGTGCTTTGAGTACAAGACGCACATTTGCTCTCCACACTCGGTCTCTATTCTTACCATCTCTCCAGTCCCTCATCACTGACACACATTCACCCTTTGTGTTTAGTGCATTCACGGCGGTGGAGGAAAGCCCAGGCTTAGAAGGAGACGCTGCTCTTGAACTGACTGAACAGAAAGCAAACCTGATGGTCCTGGATCTCTGCCACAAACCAGGTGGCAGCGAGTACCTGAGGCAAATTTATCACATCATGCGGCTCAATGAGGTAGGGAAACGGCCTTTTTACAGAGCAATTAGGTGTGTACTGGCCTGAGGCAGCGTCTGCTGGCAGCCAAGGGTTAGTCAAGGAGGTGATAATACTTCTTAAAGTCAATACTAAACTCCATACTGCATTATTAATAGAATCTGTTTAGCCTTGGCTGTTCTGCATGCACAGAGAAAGGCTTCCTGAAACAATATAGGTTTTATTTATATGATTTAAACACTCACATGGCTCATAAACTCAGTTCAGTTCTGAAATAGAGAGACGAGAGATGTAGTTTTGGAATTGTGTGTTTGTGGCCGGTTCAGCTGATAGTGAAATCTGGTATTTGTAGAAATGAAGGATTTTCTGAGGAGAGACGTAGCTATTTTCCTAAAAGCTTTATTCTTGGATTGGTAAAGTTGTAGATTTCCTGTGTAACAAAACAAACAAACAGAACAAAAACAAAAACAAAACCTCACGTCATCAGGAAAAATATCAAACTTTCAAAACAGGGTTTCTGTGTAGTCTGGCTGATCTGGAACTTGCTTTGTGAACCAGTCTGGCCGTGAACTCTCAGAGATCTGCTTGCCTTGGTCTTTTGAATGCTGGGATTGAAGGCTTGTGCCATCACACCCTGTTCTGCTGTGGTCTTTACTTGGGGACCCCATGCTCTGGTTAACTGAAAGTCCTCCCTTGGAAAGTCATTTCTTCAGTGGCATACTTGTCTAGTCAACCAGGTTGGCTAAAGCAACTCTTGTGAGGACAGTGAGGCAGGTTTTTCAGTACGGTTGCCTTCAGAGCCTTGTTTATGTAGCATAGGAAGCTCTAAGGACAGAAATGAGGGCAGCTGGTAAGAGCTGGAGGGACAAGAAGTTTTCTGAGAGATTGTGTTCTAAGGAATGTCAGAAGCTACACCCATAAAGTCTCACCACCGTGACTCCTAACCCAGAGCTGAACAAGGACAAAAGCAGTAGCCCTGCCAATGTGGACTGCAGCAGCTAAGGGATGCTAAGAGTGGGAGACAGTCTTCAGGAATAGCACACCGACTGGTCATCCACCTTATTCTTCAGACAGTCTCTCACTCTATCTGGAGCAAGGCTGGCACTAGCCTGTCACAACAGTACCGTCTGCAGCCATCCGCACTCCTCTAGACCCCACTGCCATGGTGATGGGTACATGGGCCCATACTCGGCTTCTATAAAGGGTTAGGTTCTGAGTTCAGGTCCTCACCCTTGCACAGCAAGTGCTCTTACCCACCAAGCCATCTTTACAGCCCCAAGACGTTGCTGTTTTACAATCGTATGTGTATCTGTACGTGACGTGTGTATGATTTATAATTGTATGTGTATCTGTACATGTTGTGTGTATGATTTATAATCGTATGTGTATCTGTACACGATGTGTGTATGCGTTATAATCATATGTGTATCTGTACGTGATGTGTATATGCTTTATAATCGTATGTGTATCTCTACACAATGTATGTTTCATAATCATATATGTATCTGTACACGATGTATGTTTCATAATCCTATGTGTATCTGTCCACGATGTGTGTATGCGTTATAATCGAATGTGTATCTCTACACGATGTGTGTATGCATTATAATCGTATGCGTATCTCTACACGATGTGTGTACATGAGGAAGTCAGAGGAGAACTTTGTGGACTCCTTTGTTTCCTTTCACACTCATGTGATTCAGGAGATCAAATTCAGACTGCCAGATTAGATTGTGAAGCAAGTGCCTTTACTGAATGAACCATCTAGCTGGACTAGGAAACTGTTTTTTACGGAGTCCTGACTATCAGCATAGCAGAGAAAACACAAGAAAAAGTGTTTTTCAAAATTGGCAGCAGATTTACTTTTTTGTTAAACAGTGGATGCAGGAAAGTCTACATGTAGGTATAACAATGGAAATGAGTTAAGGAAAATCGTTAGCCAAAGTAAATCATTATTTTCCAGTGAGATTTTTATTCCTTTAAAAAACTTAAATTATAATGAAGAAAATTTTTGTTTCTGTTCTATGCCATAGTCATAAAGTTATTTTCTCATGGGTTTGTCATTGTATTTAATAAGAGTCTCTGTGTCATTACAGAACTGATCTATTTAGTGAGATGTTCTACTATGAGAAAATTTAAGAAATCAGTTGTTGTTAATGATATTAGTACTTTTAGAATTTTAGAATTTTAGGATCTGGCATTTGCCTTCCATGATGCACACAGTGTATATCATGAAGGTAGAGGGACACAGGCACACAGAGCACCAGACTAGATCTTTGACTTCCTGTCACCGCTCTACTACCCACTCCATGAGCCCTCAGGGCTATCCTCTGGCCTTTCAGACTAAATGTCATGCCAGGCTGCAATATTTCCAACTTTCAACTGCTCTCCTATCCCTGGAGCTCCTGCTTGTGGATGCTTCTGACTGGGTGATGGCTGAGAGTCTGGCCTTCTAACAAGCTCCCAGGTGAGGCTACTGTTGCTGCCTGTGCACCACACAGGGTGGGAAGGGTTTTGGATGACCCCCGGAGTCCTTCTCAGTTCTAACATTCTGAAATGCGTACTTGCTGCAAACCTGGTAGGGAAAAATGTACTGTGGCATATTAAAAAGTCAAGCAAACCTTTATTTTTATTTATTAAGTGATGTATTAATAGCAAGCATTTGTTAGGTTGATGGTATTCTTTTAGTCATTTTAATTTGTTGCTTTCCAAAAAGAGTCCCATAAAACTGATTAGAGATTCTCGTCTTACTTATTTATGGGTAGTAAATGAACTATAATGTAGGAGATTGTCTCTTCTTGTCCAGGCTGCCTGCACTTTGATGATTAGAATTACATATTCCTATTGAGCCTTGATAGTTTTCAGTACATAGCATGGAAATTAAGTGTGTAGAAGTTTGCTTTATAAATGATCCTATACAGAATGAGACTCCTTGCAGTAAAATCAGGATGCTTACTACTCTGCTGAGCCCAGAGTAGGGAGCAACTGTATTTAATGAATGGGTGAGCAATCTTTTCCTGGGCATAGTCATGCACTGGAGTTATGTTTTGGTAGCCAGACATTGTAGCACATGAAGTCAATGATGAAACAATGGCTATTCAAAAGATTGGGACATAACAAGGACTCATTTGTCATATGAGATTTTGTTAAATGTGTTTAAAACCATGTAACACATTAGGTTTGACTTGTTTGTTTTGTTTTGTTTTGGTTTTGGTTTTTGGTTTTTACCAGACAGGGTTTCTCTGTTCAACTTGTTTTTGATAGGTTTACTGTGATGGTAATATGTGCTCGGCTATGTATCTTTGAGTATGCGGTCTTCCCGAGGCCAGCCAGTGGCACATTGTAATCTAAATCTAGATAATGTACCGGAAGTAAAAGCTGGGGTATTGACCAGCTTATTAAAGAGAACGTGTGCTTGTCGCCACCCTGACCCAGACCTTCTTTCCCTGAAGGAATACCTAAAAGAACAACTGTTGGCTATGAATGCTTCAGAGGAAAAGCCTTTACCTAGCCAACCTCTGAAGGGGACCTTGAGGATTGTAGAAGATCAGCCTCCTGTTTTTAACCCTTTCCATGTACATAAGATGTTCAGCAAAAACATGCTAGATCAGGTATGTGGAAATGAAGTGTAAAATTTGACTTAAATGTATGGTTCCTGTGTAACAGAAGTAATTCACAACCCATATTACTATTGTACGCATAGTCTACACCCACATACACTTTTTTGTTTGTTTAGGAAGCAAAAATTCACATTGTCATTTATATGGTCTGTATAAAGTGTTTAAGTTGCTTAACTGATTTCCATGTTAAGCAGGTTCTGATGTTTGGTCTATAAAATTTAACTTTGGTCTGAATCCTTTTGTTGTTAGGCTGTATCTGCCATAAGGCCCAAAGAGCCAGACATTTTTTTAATCACTCTTCCCCCCCTTGAGAGTTGGCTTCTTAGGACACATGTTTACACAACATCTCTCTACCACTATGGATGTATCAGGTAAACTAGAAAGCACTTTAGAAGAATTATAGAACATTAAGCCCCTATTATAAATGGCATGAGATAAATTTGCTTTTTATAACCTTAGACTCATTCCCAAATTTAAAATGGATTTTCTAATAACTTTAAAGCAAAAATATTTAGAATAAAATCAGCATGATGAAAACAATATATTTTTAAAAGTTAGATTTTGCCATTGTTTCAGCTGGGTACTTCGGTAATTTAATTTAAAAAGATTATCTTTCCACAAAACATGTGAGTTGAATTGCTTTTGTTTTGTTTGATCTTTCTTTTTCCTTGTCGCTTCTTTTTTTTATTTCCCCAGAACCCCCTTGACAGACAACTTGAACTAGCAGGGCAGAAGAGAAGGATTGCTTGACCTAGAGCGCTGATGAAAATAAGAATTAAAACACTGGCCTAATTTGGCATGCAGATAATACCTTAACCATGCCTGTTACAGCTTCCCTCCACATTCATCAATACTGCAGTAGAATAAGACCTTCAAATGCTGACAACCCGGGGCGAATTCTCCTGTTCTATGACAGGGTTGGAGCACTCGATTTATCAGCAGTGACAAGGGATAGCTCTGCTTGGATTTCAAAGACCATGCTGGAGACTTAGATCCAAACCATTTAGTTAGAGAGCCTGTACAGAGTTTACAGTCGCCTATAAGATTTTAACCCTGATGTATAAAGTAGAGTTTATTGCTGCTTCTTATACTGTACATTAGATTTCTCTGAAACACAAGTAATTATTGCAGCTATTAACTAACCCTTACTTCATTTAAATAAATAGCCTGCTTACCAAGTTCTGAATTACAAGAATATTTTTCTCCTCACTCTGCTGTGAAATTATTTATTAATGAGAGAAAAGAATCATGTATGTTATTTACACTTGGAAATCAATATAATTTGCCCATTAAAACATTTTCTTAGAAAAATAGATAGAGCAATAGTGCCCACATCTAATTGAGGCGTCTCTTTCAGTTTGAGGCTTAGTGGTCTCTAAGTTCCCCTTTTGTGCCCACCCTGAAGAGCCCACCTGTGAAAGTGGTGTCACACATGAGAAGCTACAAGTCACTGGGCTCACTTTTCACACTCACCCTCCCAACAAAACTGGGGCAGATGCCATTGACATTTGCAAACATAACCAACCCAGAAATTGATTTATATTTTTTATAAATAATGACTATGCCCCTAAATGGATTTACAAATTAATTGCTGTCTTATTGGAATAAACACCTCCTCTGTGGACATGATTGATGTTATCTGTCCAAGTCCTTGTTCTGAGCTCCCTCCTTCATAGTTAGTGTATCACAGCTGGGGCTTTAATTCACTGATCATATTAATTCTGATTAATAACTAACAATAGTGTCTTCTCATTTGTCAACAGTCGGCCACAGCAGCATGGCGTTGGAACTGGTCAAACTTGCTGCCAAATTACCTGCGCCTGGATAAGATGACCTTCAGTGCACTACTCAGAAACAGGTGCTAAGCTTGAAGCCTGGGGCTCAGGAAGTGTGCGTAGCATGTATGTTAGTCTTCTGGGACTTGGGGAGTGTGTGTAGCATGTATGTTAGTCTTCTGGGACTCGGGGAGTGTGAGTAGCATGTATATGTTAGTTTTCTGGGATTTGGGGAGTGTGTGTAGCATGTATGTTAGTTTTCTGGGACTTGGGGAGTGTGTGTAGCATGTATGTTAGTTTTCTGGGACTCAGAGAGTGTGTGTAGCATGCATGTCAGTTTTAAGAGAAGTTAAAACATTTTATTGGCAGGGTAATCACTTTTTCTGGTTTTTGAAGCACCCATCTTTAAAAAAATATGACTAACATTATATGTATACTGCCCAAATTCTGTTTCCCGTAATGAATACTTGCAAAATTAGTTGATTTTGTCTTAATTTTAAATATTTTGACTTTGCATGAATGGTTTGCTCTTGTAAACACAGAAAGTCACTGACTTGAATGTCATTATCAAAGTATACCTTTGTTTACAGCAGTTGCATGAATGCATGTAATATACCAGAGCTAACCAGCTAGTCCAGTCAGGGCAAGTGTAAGATAAAGTGTCAGGACTGAACTGGCTTCTTTTCAGTCAGCTATTTTGACAGTATCTACTATATCCTCATGGCATGTTGTTTTAAACACACCGTTCTTTTACTGTTTATATGTCATATTTAGGCCTATAACTGGGTATGGGAATTAATTTCTGCTTAATCTTTGTCATGTAGTTCCATGTTTTACAAAAATATTGAATATAAATTTCCTTGAAAACCATAATGACAAGAACATAGTAAATTGGTATATCATCCTTGAGAAATCTGAGCATATGAAAGAGAATCTCTAAGAGATATTGAAGTATTTCCCAAATGAAACTTTATAAAACAAAACAAAAAAACAATGTATAGATCACCAGTAAGAGTTATACCTCAGATATGTGGTCCCAATAACATACTATGTTTGCCTGTAAATTAACATGATTTGCCAATTAGGACCACACTGAACAAGTGGCCAGCTTCCTCTTGAAAGACAGAGCCTGCATGCCATTCGTTTTAGTGTTTGGTCGAAGAACGGTTCCCATTCCACCTGGAAATGAGAGGTGAGCTGACGAAACGGAGGTCAGGTCCCCTTTGTTGAACCAAGTTATATGGTGTGAGCACAATATTTTTATCTGGAACACACACTGGAAAAGATAAGCCTTTTCCCTGCTATTCAGAAAGTTTTGTATTTATGCAGATTAAATTTTATAATTTCGTAATTTTTCTTTAGTTGTGAATTCCTGCTTCTAGTCAACTAAATGATACTCTACGGACAGCACATCCTTCAAAACTTACTACATTTATATTGTATAATATCCATAGCTAAGAAACTTCTGATTTAACATTGCATATTGTTATATGTGTTTAGTAAGAATATTGTTTAATAATATATTCCAATTAGGTTACTGGTTATTAAGTCTATTTCCCTGAGATATGTGCAGGAGTGAGTGGGAGGGAAAAACCCTGCAAATTTACTCCAGAGTAGCAGGTCAGGCAGTTCCCTTGGAAAAGACTCATGAATCTTTAATAAAGGCAGCTGGAATCTAATCTTAATAAGAACCTGGGATTTTAAAGAATGGTGTGAAAAGCATTCTGCTGAAAACTACAAGATACCACGAGAACAATGAGCCTAATTGACTTACCCTAAATAATGAGAGATACCTGAGAGGACTATCAGCTATCACTTCATTTATTTCAAGAATTTATTTATGAGTTTAGATTGATATTGAGCTAGCAAGGAAATGGTTTTGGCTATTTTTCCTCTAAAATTCTCTCTTTTTTGAACTATCTGAAAATGCCGACTTTTAACTAGTGTTTGGAATATCTTAAAAGTACATAATTGAAGATGAGACTGAAGAACGAGGACCCTTTAGAATGAGGGTTGGCATGCCACGCAGTGTCTACAAGGTGACACTTGTTACTTGCAGGGTAGTTTTCGTGTTAGGCAGTGCTGAAGGGGACCCCAGAGCAGCCCAGCTGTGTGTTCATTGTCTGTTCTTTGACACCAAGTTGCAAGCTGCACACGTGACTCAAGCCCTTTTCTTGGTCATCATGTTGTACTGATTGAGACTTACAGGCTTGAATGGGGCTGTGGATGTTGACTGCCGACCTAATGCGATGCAGCTAACCAAACTCAATATGCAAATCTAAAAACATGTTTAGGAGGACAGCATCCATGAGATTCCCTTCTAAAATGCCTTTGTGGCCAGACTAGACTCCCTTCGGCCCTCAAATAAGACAAGCATGAAAAGAAGGACTCCTGAGCTATCAGGAGTTTATCTTTGACTTCAGATTCCCATACAGAGAGAATGAAATTATATAGTTTCTCTATGGAGTTGACACACCAAGAGTGTTAAAATATTTGTAAGTCAGAATACCTTCCAGGAATGTGCCCGGTGTTAGTTCTCTAGGATAAGGAACTGTGATGATTCACTGTAGCTCAGTTGGTAGAGTACTCTTGTCATATATGAGGCCATATGTTTAATCTGGTCTAAAACAAATAAATAGTTGTGAAATGAATTCCATGAGCCACCAACTGTGGCAATTCCAGGCCTAAATCAGTAATTAAGGGTAGGCAAGGCAACTATCCAGGCATAGGGCATTGGGTTTAGGAGACAATCAGGGAGAAAAACATCAAGAATGAAGAGACCAAGATAAGGACTCAGAGCTGAACACTTGAGAGGCAGTCTGAATATACTCAAGAGAAATCTGGGTGCCAGCAGCATCTGTATCTAGAGCAATTTTGGCTTTTATACCATGGGCTGTGCTGATTCCAAAAGAGGAGTAAGGCTTACAAGTGGCCACCCCGATGAGCCCTTGTCAGAGGTGTGCCCTGTGCTCCGTCAGGAGTCTCACATTGAAGTGCCTCTCTCTCATCCACCATGCTGTGTAGGTTGCCTTGTTCAGGCTGCTTGAACTCTCTGTTTCCCACAGTGAAGTCCCTCCACAATTCACAAGGATAACACCATCCCATGTGGGACAAATATTGTCTTCTGAAAATTATTGCTCTTTCTTTAACACCTATTTCAAAAGGTCTGCGAGTCATCCTACGCTCTATTCTGTGTGCTGTTTTCTTAACTAATTATGATCTGAAATCTCAAGTTTTGTTTATATTCATTCCATCATATGCTCTACAGTAAAGCATAAGTTCTATGACATTACCACCGGCCTTGTTTCAACACCAACAGCAATGCCTTGAACAATCTGGGCACGCAATGGGCTCTGGGCAACATTAGCTGAAATAAATACATAAAGACTAGGAGGGCACAGGAAAACAGTGACCCTTGATAGGTGAGCACATGGTGGATTGTCCTGAAATGTGATGTTGTATTCATGGCCATTAGGTATGCGAAATGTTCTGCTAAATTGAAAGTTAGAAACTATACCAATGTATATTCATCCTCTGCATTTTCAATATTTGGATGACAGTCAGGTTAGCTGTAATCTTTCTGCTTAAAATGCCTGGTTTATTTATATTATGTGAAATTTGGCTCAGGTTAAAAGAACAGGAAGCTGGTCTTTATTTTTAATTAATTGGCCTATTTCGAGCCATAACCCTGTCAGCCACAAAACCTGTTATTCCTATCTGACTCATACATCTATTGATACTTGAGTGAAAAGGCTTGTATTTGTTAAATAATACTAAAATTAGTAGGTAAAAACTTTCAGATGGAATTAGCTGCCGACAGTATCTACTCAGCCTTTGTAAATTAATTATGAGTGATTCGTTTTCTGAGGCATTTGAATAAATTGAAGTCTCTGAGATCTTATGAAAGACACCCTGAATATGTATCAATGATATACGTGTTTCACCATAGAAAGTTTGCAACTATAGAAAATAAAAACTCCTGGAGCTTCAGAAAATCCTCACATAGAGCAGGTCTATGCTTTCCCCTGATAGGCCCTGAAGAGTAAGTGCTGTGATTGGACATCGATCTTTTGAAATAATCAAGGTTCTTATCCCTGTTTCTTACTATTCCATTCCTACTTTCATTCTCTCTCACTTTAAAATAAATCCAGACCATTGAAGGAGGTTGTGATTGCCTTTCTGGAGAGTGTCGAAGGCATGCTCCGTTTCTTCCTCTATGGCCGACCTCCAGATTGCCATTTGATAGTGTTTGCCTTGCCACATAATTAATGTTTCTTCTCTTCACCTTATTTACCCAGACTAATTCCCAAGAATTGTGCTGTTGAAAATAACCCGTGAATACAGTAAAATGCTATGCTATTTTAGCTATCTAAATATACTGCATATTAGTTTGGCTTCAAGTTGGGCAAACACAATTAAATATGATGTCAGGAACAGCCGGAAGGGGTGGTGGTGGCAGATTTTTGGTTATCACTTTGGGGCCTTTCCAGGTGGACAATAACCATGCATCCAAGAGGAAAATGAGATTAGAAAATGTGTTGAAAAAAGTTGTTAGTCAGTGGAGTTGTTTGCCTTTCCTAACAAATATTGAGTGACTTTATTCTGTATCAAATGATAGTGTGTGCCCCACCATGGACTCCATGCTAGGCGATGGTGCATGCCCTACCTTGGTAGAGAACAGGAATTATTGTCTCTGGCCTCAAACTGCACTCCCTGAACTCCCTAGTACCCATTAGCAGGCATTGCTGCCACTAATACAGTGTTTATAGTTGTTTATGGCAGTAAATTCCTGGTACAGCAGCAGGCTGCATGGTTATAGGGAGTTGGTTTAAGGAAAGATGCTAGTCTTATGAGTATGTACCTCCCAGTTATCGCACGCATTACCTATGCCATGTTAGTCAACTTTGGTGTTTGCTACTGTTCTTCGTTTAAGGAAAGATGCTGATCCTATGAGTATGTACCTCCCAGTTATCACACACATTACCTATGCTATGATAGTCAACTTTGGTGTTTGTTACTGTTCTGTGTTTTGTTTGTTCTTGTCATGTTCCAGATCCACATAGAACCCATTTCTTCCCATATC